CCCGGGTCTGCTGGGGGGCCCCCCCCCAGCAGACGAGGGAGACGCGGAGCGGCTTTTCTCGCCCCGGAGGACGCGGGTGGCGGGACCGCGGCGCGTCTGGGCAGTCCCGCCGCCCGCTTCCTCCGGGGCAAGAAAAGCCCCGTTTGTAACTACGGATCTGACGTAAGTCGGATCCGCGTAAGTCGGGGACTGCCTGTAGTTGATTTTAAACTAGAGTTTACTTTAACAGAATGCACTTACTTTAAGGATATCCACATGTGAAAAATCAATTATGACGTGAATTAAAATACAATTTTAAGAAGTGAATGGTTAAAAATTACAATATTATATTGGTAGTTACCTAGTTCTAATTACCATATTTTATCTGATTTAAGAGAGGAACAGAAGGCCAATTTAACTCTGAATCTTTTCTTTGCATTATTTTTTAATAAAAGCCAGCCATACAACAATTTTCACAGTTGGGTTAAGAATGAAAATTACATTGGATAAAAATGTATTAAGGTATCAATTTGATTTTTCTACCTGACAATATTCCTCTTTCTTCAGTATCACTGTCACTCTCAATAATGTCATTAAGTTTTTCAATATCTGCTAAAGATTGGCCATAGTGGGTCAGTTCTTCATCTTCATTGAGGTTATAGATACTTTTCTTTTCATGGTTTTGCTGTGAAAAATAAAGAAACCAATTTAGCAATAAGACATTTTTCAGTTTAGTAACAGTTAAGTTAATGATGGCTAGTCAACAAAGATTTTTCTTTCCTCAAAAACTCGTATTTTCAATTTAGCCCAGGAGAATCCTATTTCATTTCTCTGCTGTTTTAACAGCATTTAGAAGTCTAAAATTTCATTCACACATATTTAAACCTTGAAACAGTGAGCATCTCACACTAGTTTTTACACTCTTATCATAGGAAATACAGAACTAAACCAGTGTAAATAAGTGGTGAATCAGGCACAGTGTTCTGGAGAAGGGTTTTTTCTTAGTTAAAAAACTAGTGGCAAAATTAATATAAAAGCAAAATTGGGTTTTTGTGTGTGTAAAAACTCAAACCTTTTAAATAAAATATTTCAGGCTTAATACCCACTAAAAATTATTTTTCCCAAAAACTGTGTTTTATTACTAGAATTATCTGCATATAAAATCATGCCGCTTAGTTCAGGAATCCAAATATGATGTAGACTGAAACAGAATACAAACCAATCCCACTTCCTGCCTCAGGTGTCCCCAAATCATGGGGTGCCCCTAACAGAGAAACATTCAGGGGCACTGGCTAGTCCCCATAGGGGGTGAGGAGGGATGCCAACCAGTTTTGCTCCTGGCATCCAACTGTGGCTCCAGCCTCGGCCCTCTCACCCATCCACATGCCTCACTTTGGAGCTACAGCCCCACTCCAGGCAGGGGAGGCAGGATAAGGAGGGGAACAAAGTAAAACGTTTGGGGACTGTTGTCTTAGACTCGTGATAAGACCCTAAAATAAGCTTCACGGGCCATCAAGTGAAACCCAACTTTTTTCAGGTGTATTGGTGAGAACAGGTCTTTAATGCCAACTAAAGGATTTACATTTTGCGGAAATAAAATTAGATTTTGACTAGTTTAATTCCCAAAATTACAACAGTTTTGTAAATGTTAAAATAATTCAGCTTTAAAAATCTGTAATTTGGATAGGACTGGTCAAACATTTGCTGGGCAAAACCTGTTTTTCAACAGAAAAATTGATTTTTGACAAAAGAATTTTCATTACAATTTTGATTTTTTATAAAAATCCCCAAATGCTCAGAGTATTTCAATTATTGGCAAAAATTATTTTGGTTTTCTTACTTCCACCAAAAATTCTAAATTTTAAAATAATTTTTAATAAGCTCTAATTCTGGAATTCATTTCAACTGAATAAAAGGTGTAAATAGACTTTCAGAAACGGAGTATGTGGGAGTAAAAATGAAAATGAAGTATGGTTTAGGGATGTTAAAATGCATTCATTTAGGTAAAGGTGTAACTGCTGAAAATATTTACATGGGGGGGGAGAGGTGGCCCCAACCCCTCCCCCCCCGCATTGCTGCCTGGGGAGGCGGTGTGTAACCATGAAGGTTAACTGACGAGCTCAGGCTCATTGGTTAACCATATCCATGTTTACACTTTCACATCCCTAGTATGCTTGTGTTATAGGGTTTTGGTAGAACCTTGGGATCAAGCAAAATATTATTTACAGAAAGCTTTATTTGATAGTTTAAACATTTCTACTTCTACTTTTTATATTATTTTTTATTCCTATATCTTTACCTGCCGTTCCAAAGCGAACCTCTTCATCATCTTCTCCTCTGGACTTATTTTGGTATTATATTCACCAAAACGTTTATCTTTAAATATATTGGACTTTCCCCGTTCTTTGTATTCTTTCAATAAAGTTTGTGTACGCTGAAAAACAGATCAAAGCATAAATGTAACAAAAGCACATCTGACGCCAATGATTTACAAAACAAAAGGCTCTGATGTATTCTGCATTAAAGTCTAAGTTAGTCACACACACACACACAAAGATGGACAGCTTGTGTGAAAAATCTATGCAGATCAATTAAAGAGTTTTATGAGAAGAGAACTTGACTATAAACAGACCAATGTAATTCATGCTGTAAATTTAAATTTTCTTGTGCCTGCATTTCATTAAATTAGTCTATTTTGTTATACTCCTAAACAATCCCAATTAAGAACTGTCATCTCAGTCTAGTTCATCATGTATAAAAATCTATCTATCTTAAAAAAGCCGCAGACTATTAGGTGAAACCATTGTTGGCAGCCTGAGGAGAGGTCAGTAATCAAATGGGTAGAGATACTGAGCTACTTATTTCACCTGGAAAGCAGATGCTCTAGGTCAGCAGTGAGGTATATCTGGCAGTTCAGAGTAAGGAAATTTGGTAGGCCAGTGTGGAGAAGCCTGTACATATCAATTTTGCAGGCAAATAGAGAGTTACACCTCCTTCTAGAGCTGTTAATAAAGCTGTCAAGAGCATACTAAACAAGTCATTTAGTTTTCCAGTATTAACCATTTTAAAGTTTTGTAAAACCTAGGCCAGTATTAAAGCAGGTGGGAAACTAATTTAAAATCTCTTGCTCACACACTGAAATATCACAACCAATACTTTCAGCAAGCATGCTACCTTCAATATTAGGTTTAAAAAGGTCAGAGGCAATACAAAATGTTGAATGCTTAGCAGATTCCTGGGGAGAAATAATATTTTGTATTATTATGAAGTCAAACTACAGTGGACAACAGAACAGCTGAAATTTCTAGGTATTGCCGGTCACGCACATCACATATGCAGAATCTGCAGATGTCAGGATTACTAAATAATGGAAATCTTACTTCATCTAAGACATCACAGAATTTATGTTCTTTTTTCATCTTTTTATGTTATGTACACATATATAATTTCCAATGAATTTTTAATATGATGCCATTTGTCTTTTTAATATTTTTGGCAGAGAAAAATACTTCTCCATCTTGACAGATATAAGGCGGACCCTTTCATTGATTACCATTACTCAAAGTAACTGTTTTATAGAGGGCTTCTCAACGGTATTCAAAATATATGCAACGATAACCTAAACTACAGTTTTGCTTGTGCTGTAGTATTTCTCAGACAGATTTGGTTTTCTTTTGAAGTATATCTCTAAATTCTGTTTGCTGATGGATGGTATGTACATCATAGTGAGAATTTGAAGAAAAAAATAAATTTACTTTTAACACAGATTTAATACAGAAGTATTGTGCTTAAGTTAAGTGGAGAGGAAAGAAAGCTTCAAGGCTTCCCTGCTGGATCCAGCGTGCGCAGGGAACAAGTTGAGTAAAAAATGGCTGTGTGCTGCCCTTTTTCTTCCCCTTGAGTGTACGGAACAAGCGGAACTAAAAAAGGGCTCCATGCGTGCTGCCATTTTCCTTCCCCAGATACACATTTCCTGGAGGCTTCCCCTGTAAATCCTTCCTGGAGGCTTCCTTCCTATAAATGGAAGCAGCAGGAGGCCATGTTACATGATGCCTGTGATATGGTGCAAAAACAAGTGCCTCCCACCACTCATTCATGCCCAGACCCTGCTCATCCCCTCTCACCCTCTCTCCAGATACCCTGCCCCGAGGCCGCTCCTGCCCTCTCCTCCCGGCCAGACACCCTCCATTTCTCCTGCCCTCTTCACCCGGATAGATACCTTACTCCTGGCCTGCTCCTGTACCCTACCTTCCACCCATACCTTGCACCCTCATCCTGCCCTACACCTCACCTCCCAGCCATACCCTGCACCCCCTCTATCCCATTCACTTGCAGCCATGTACCACACTTTTAACCCCTCATTTATGTCCCCACCCCAGAGCCTAAGGGGGCACACAAAATCCACTAACCCTGGAACCCCAGAAGAGTAAATCTGGCTTGACACCTTGAACCTCAGTCCTTCCAGCCCCTCCACCCACCATAGGGCTGGAGCACCTGGGGAGTGTGGTGTTTCAGTGGGGGGCCACATCAGTGAGGGTTGGGAATTTTTGGAGGGGTTTTTCTTTGCTTCTCACTTATGTGGTCCCCGACTGATTTTTCTGTGGGTCAGTGGGAACCTTTTTTGGGTCAGGGACCAACTCCTACCATAAATAAAGACAATGTTGAAACCTTGTGTGTTGGTTAAATAATGTTTTACTTTATTTAAATATGAAGCCAAGCCAACACCCCCCACATACCAACCCTGAGCTTATCATACACCTGAACCCCGTGCCCTGAGCCCCACATTCTAGAATCCCGCACCCCCGAATCTGCAGCCCCCTGCGATAACTCTCCTGCACTCCTTATACTCCCCAACCCTAAGCCCATCATATACCTGAACTCCCTGCCCTTAGCCCCTCATATCCTCACATTCCCAGATCCCTGCAACCCCACGTTCCCAGTCCCCTGCCATAACACTCCAGCACTAGGGATATAGGCAACTAGTCGACTATCCGACAACCATAAGCTTATCAGATAGTTGATTAGTCCCTTGACTAATCACTTCCCCCCCACTTGCTGCCTCTATCAAAAGGGGCAGGGAGCAGGAGTGGAAGCTAGGGAGAGTCATCTTAAAAACCGGTATGCCCTAGCACTGTGTCTGCAGGGGGCAAGGGAATAGCAGGGACTGGGCACGAGCCAGGAACCATCAGATTACTGGCTTGCGCCCAGTCCCAGGCCACTGTGGTTCTCCTGCTTATCAACTAATCGATAAAAATTCCATTGATTAGTCGATTAAACTAAATTTAACACCCCTATTCTTCACCCCCCACACCGCAACCTTACACTCTGAGTCCATCATACACCCAAATCCCCTGCCCTGAGTCCCTCATACACTGCAGACCTGCCTCTTGCACACCCCATAACCCTAGTCTCCTGCCCTGGGATTGACAGAAGACAGCCTGAATATGTGCATGAACAGGGTTCGCCAAGTAGCGGCGAGCCCTGCTCGCTAGTTGCGCGGAAGAGCTTGCTGCGCATGCGCAGACCGCACTGCGCAGCCCCGCCAGGCTAAAATCTACTTGCCATTTCCTTTCTAATAATGCCTAACCATTTCCTTTGTAATAAGGGGAAACTTTTATATTTAAAAAACAATCAATGTTCACTTTAAGTGCAGGTCCTTGGTAAACCAGGCTTATTCCTCTTGGCCTTCTCAGATAATTTAATTCCCATAAATTAAAATGTCTCAGGCCCTAACTCTGCCAACTTAAGTACATCCTCAAATTGAAATCAAAGAGAATACAAATACAAATGAAATTAGTATTTTGCAGGGTTGGAGCCTAACTTCTCCTAGCATAGATGAGTATTTCTCAACCTTTTTGAGACCAGGGACAGGTTGTTGTCGTCTTCCTAAACTGTGTCAGTGAAATCTGAGGGGCTGGAAAGGAGGCTGCCACGGACCAGCTGAAGTCCATGGATCAGTCATTGAGAAACACTGATATAGACCATTTGGGGAAATCTGAATTGTGTTTGAAGCCTGGTGTATCGTGTGGACGTAAATTGTTATTTAAAAAATTAACCAATTAAACATTATGTTTAACTGGTTAACTATGGAGCAAGCCTCCTTTTGCAGCACCATACAGCAGCCCTGGCCTGGCTGTCACAGCCCCCCACCTGTAGCAAGATGCAGGCAAGGGGCTGTTTTAGCCCGGCCCGGCCAAGCTGAGCTTGCTGTGTCATGGGTGGAAGCTACTCAGGCTGATCCTACCTCACTGTGGGGCTGCTTCAGCTAGGCCCACCACACAGTGGGTGGTGGCTCCAGCCCAGTCAGACTTACTGGTTAACAGACAGCATCACCTGGTTAACTCCTTGTATCCCTAGTCTATAGATAAAAAATAGAGATCAACCTACATATATTGCTCAGGGCTGTAAAAACTGTAATGACATGTGGAGATGCAGCTAGGGCAACATAAGAATTCTATTGTCAATCTAGCTACTGCCTCTTGAGAACATGGATTTACCATAGCAATGGAAAACACATGACACTCTAGTCTTTACATTATAGTGGCATAGCTGCAGTTGTGGCACTGATGTATATACATACCATTAATTTGTGGCTCCACTAAGGTACATTATTACCTTTCTTGGAGTGTAGGCCTGAATCATATATGAATCAGTTTGGTTGCATTTGTGTTAGATTTTCTACATGTATTTGATATTGTGATGAATTAGCAAGAGTGCTATAAGCAAGACATTAGGAGTAATTCTTCTGTTCTACTCCAGGCTGATTAGGCCTCAATTGGAGTACCATGTCCAGTTCTGGGTGCCACATTTCAGGAAAGATGTGGACAAATTATAGAATGTTGACAGAGACAAAACTAATTAAAGATCTAGAAAATATGACCTACGAGGGAAGATTGAAAGAAATTAGGTTTGTTCAGTTTGGAAAAGAGAATACAAAGGGGATTTAACAGTTTTCAGGATTCTAAAAGGTTGTTACAAGGAGCAGAAAGACAAATTATTCTCCCTTACATCTGAGGACAGGACAAGCAGCAAAGGATTTAAATTACAAGGGAGGTTTAGGTTGGAGATTAGGAAAAACTTCCTGTCAGGGTGTTAAGTACTGGAATAAATTGTCTAGATGCTGCAGAATCTTCATCACTGGAGATTTTAAGAGCATGTTAGACAAAAACCAAAAAATTAAAAATTCGACAAAATTCTGTATATTTTTTGTGTCAAAATAACACAATATAATCACACTGTTTTCAATTATTCGATGACCAGTATTTTGAAATAAATTGCCAAAATAATTGAAAATACAGTCATTATCTGGTTATTGTATTACTCTAACAAATAAAAATATGTGAACTTTGCAGTTTTAAATTTTTAAATTTTGTGTGTGCAGAATTCCCTCAAGAGTACCAGGGCACCATCTCGGATGCAGGCAGCTCAGTGGGGGGCCCAGGTGCAGGGAATCTGGATGCACAGGGGTTCAGTATGTGGGGAATGGAACTCTGAAGGGGCATCCAGGTGAAAGTGGTTAGGGTTCCATAGTGGCGGCTGGAGAGTGGGTCTTGGTGGGGTTGGGGGGTCAAGATGCAGCTGCTTGGGCTCAGCGAGCTGGGATTCTGGGTGAGAGGAGCTCCCAAAGCAGGGCGAGAGGCTCTGTGTAGTGTGCAACATCTCTATTTTCTTCCTCTCACCACCCATCCAGCTGGGATTAACATTCTTGGATGTCTGGGACATCCCTAGATCTCTCTCCTCCCTCCCCAATGATTTACCTCTCCCCCACCACTGCCTAGACAGACATGTCTGAGCTACTGGGGAGTGCAGTTTCTTTTTTGCTTTCACACAGGAAACCATTTTCTACCAAAAGTAAATAATTTGCAAGGGGCAGTTTTCTGCTGTGCTGCAGTGGTGCAGAATTCTCCCAGGAGTAACCAGTTTGATCAGTGCAGCTTGGATCAACAACAATATTAATAATCATAAAAATGGATTTTGTAGTAAAGAATGACCGCACTGGATTATACCAATAATCCTTTTAACCAGGTATCCTGTCTTATGACAGTAGCTAATGTCAGGTATTTCAGTAGGAATGAAAATAATAGGCAATCAACAAGTGATCCATCTCTTGTTGTTCATTCCCAGCAGTTTCTGACAAAAAGAGGCTAGGAACTCTCAAAGCATGATGTTGCATCCTTGCTCTAGCGAATAGCCATTGAGGGACCTTACCACTAGGAATTCACCTTGTTCTTTTTTGAACCTTGTTATAGTTTTGGCCTTCACAACATCCCCAAGCCTGGGGTTCATTGGTCACAGTTAAACCTGCAATCTATTAATTTAATTGAGTGTGTTATGTGAAGGAATAAAATTTCGTATTTACTTTCTCCATGCCAGTCAAGATTTTATAGACCTTGATCATATCCCCCCTTAGTCATCTCTTTTCTGAGTTGAACAGTCCTAGTTGTTTTAATCTCTCCTCATACAGAAGTTGTTCCATACCCCCAATCATTTTCGTCAGCCTTCTCTGTACCTTTTCCAGTTTTTTTTTTTTTGAGATGGTGGGTGGGACCAGATATGCATGCAGCATTCAAGTTGTGAATGTATAGGATGCAGGGGTGATGAGTTTAAGACTAATGAGGGAGTATGTATCCCCACAATGCTACGGATGGGAGGAGCAAGGGGCCAGTACCTGGTGGCACCAGAGCCTCTAGTCAGTTTAGGGGACTAGATGGGGAGCCACTAGCAGCAGTGGGGAAGAAGCAGAGGGATGTGACCCAACCCGCTCCTCTCCTCCTGTGCCTGGCTACATTGCTCTGCTTCTAGCTGGAAAGTGCGGCGGGGGGGAGGAGCAGGATGAGGACTAGGGCTATGTCCCTCTGCTTCCCTCTTGCTGCTGCCAATGAGTGCAGGTGGGGCACACCCTTGCTGCTGTCATCAGACTACCACTAGTCCACACAGGACATGTCGCTCAGGGGTGAGGTAGGGGCTAGGGATGTAAAATCCCATTTAATTGGTTAACTGGTTAAACATTTTGTGTAGTAAGTTAACTGATTAAAGCTTCGCCCCCCTGCACGGGCAAGGACTGCTCCAGTACGCCGGTCAGAACAGCCCCTGCCTGTGGCGAGCCAGGCAGGGCTGGTGCAGCTACCTGCCCCTGGTGTGAGGGAATCTGCTCCAGCCCCTACAGTAGTGGTCCTTGCCATGGCGCCCGTCAGGCCATTTCTGTGCACCCGCCGGGCCATTTCTGTGCGCCCGCTGAGTGATTGGTGCCAGCCCTGCCCTTAGGCGTGTGGGCGGTGCCGGCCCCTGGGCGCATTGGCGGCGCTGTCCCCAGGCACGCAGCATATGGTCAGTGCTGGCTCCGGGAACGCAGCACATGGGCGGTGGTGGCCCCGCCCTCGGGCACACGGGACATGGGCTGTTCTGCTCCCGGGTGCGCGGTGGTGTATGGGCGGCCCCAACCCTGGGCGTGCAGCACAGTTGCGGCGCCAGCCCCGGGAGTGCGGCGCATGGGTGGCGCTAGCTCTGGGCATGCAGCATGTGAGCAACCCTGCCCCCGGGCGCCTCGCAGCCCCAAAAGGTTGGGGACCACTGCCCTACAGCATAACCAGAATTGGTAAACCAGTCACAGCCCTTATTGGGGACAGGAGTGGGGAAAAGGAAAACAGAGGGTGGAGCAGGGACCAGGAGGAGCAGAGAAGGTTACTGTCACAGCCTTTCCCCACACTAGGGTGGTACACGGAGGAGTCACATGGGGATACCAGTCACATGGTAGGTGTCCCCTTGTGTCTCCCCCTTAGCAGTAGCTCCTGATAGGATGTATAGTTCTTTAGATTATAGCATTTTTCATCTGAGAGCCCCAAATGGTTTCAGGTCTTACAATCCTTGAGATAAAAGTCATCCTTATTTTCAAGTCAGAGAAATGAAGGGACAAAGCATGCTTTTTGCTTGACAACTTTCCAGAGCAGAGGCAACATACTCATGTTTATATAGGTTACTTACAATGGAGCTTCAGTCTTCACTGACACCCTTAGATGTTCATTGTTATCAGCACTCTCAATAAGTAGAATAGACTTACCAAAAGTCACAGAGCAAGTGAATAACAAAGACTACAAAAAAATCCCTACTCACCTGCCTATACTCTGCTCTGGGGCTATACTGTACCATCTGACAATGTGGTTGTACCCCAACATAAGGGCAGTCTTGGTGAGATTTGTGCTATCAAACCCTCGGGGACCTGCTCCAAACTCTGAGATCACATCGCCTACAGGCCATCATTTACACAACCTGGGGGTGTGTGCACCACCACTGCCCCAATCTGGCCACAGGGGCCTGCTCCAGACTGGTGGGATCCCCACCTTGCCCTCACCTGGGGCTCGCCCTTCTCCCCTCTTACCTTTTTGACAGCTTTGGAGCGCGAGATGCCCGGCAGCCCCACGTCGTGTTTGGTTTTCCGTCCCAAGATATGAAACTTCTGCTTGTTGACCTTCACCTCGAAAGGGTTGTTCTTTACCATGCTCGTGCCCGCCCCACTCGGGCCCTTGGGCCTGGCAGCCACTTGGCCTTTTCTCCTCTGCTTAGCTGCCTTCCCCATCGTGCAGCGTGTGTGTGTCCGGGGTCAGCACTCGCTCAGCAGCATGAGGAGCCAGGCGCCTGAAGCACAGGGGCTGCGCAGGAACGGGGGGCAAGGGCCCCCCAGACCTGAAACCGTTCCGAGCTGCCCCCCCGCAGTGTCCGCACACACCACGTCACGCGAGATCGTCTACGTAGCGTGAGACCTATAGGGTCGACCAGGGTCTCTAACGAGCCGGCCTGCGACCTGCCGCTCACGCTACGTACAGAGCAAGCTAAGCTGCAGCAACGCGGCCACGTCTCTCGCGGGACTTAGCGGTAGCAGTGACTAAGCTCTGCCGGAGAGCAGAGCGGCATGAACGATACGACTGTATAACCCGGCATGCAACGCTCCACCCCTTGCCAGTGAGGTGACGAACTATCACTCCCAGCATGCAACACCGAGCACGGGTGCTGACGCCTAGTTACTAACGAATCCGCTTTGACACAACAGAGCGCCGGGAGAACGCACTGCCTGCTGGGAGCTGTAGTCTTCGAGAGGGGACTGCCCCAGGCGTGAGGCGGGAAGCGAGGCGTAGCACTGCCCAGTTGTGGGCAGGCCCCGCCCGTCCCGTTTCTCCGCCCCCCTGAACAGAGGAGGGAGGGGGCGGTGAGTGAGCGAGGTGCGAGTGATGGGAGAGCGGAGAGCCCGGCATTGAGGCTGGGGGTCCCGGCGGTGGCGGGGCAGGAGGAAGGGGCGAAGAAGGTGGCGGCTGTGAGGGGACGGAGGGGGTCGGAGACCTGATCATGGAGATCGAGAACATCGTAGCCAACACGGTGCTGCTGAAAGCCAGGGAAGGTGAGCGGAGGGATGTGTGCGCGGAGGAGGGGCGCTGAGGGGACGGGCGGGGTGCTGGGGCATGAGGGGAGGCTTTAGGGGGAGAAGAGAAGCGGGGGCGCTACAGGGAGGCGGCAGGCTGGGCGCATAGCTGCTGGGGAGGGGGGGGGGCCGTCGGGCGGGAGGAGAAGGAGGGTTTGGGACCGAGTTGGGGAAGTGGGGACCCGAAGGGAGCAGGGGTTGTGCTGGGGCTGGGCGAGGGGGAGGGCAGGGGAATGAGAGTGGCGAAAGGAAGCAGCGAGTGGACAACGAGGGTGAAGGTAAGATGATGGGGAGGCGCTGTCAGCGCTCCGGGGAGCCTCGTGAATGGAGAGGAGAGTTTGTTCCTCAACTCCACCCAGGTAGGGTGTAAACATCCATACAATAAAGGCACCCGCAAAGTCTTCCTTCTTCGGGATTAACCGTTTTTAATGTTTCTTCGCTCTCCCACTTCCTTGGGTGCAAACTCGTTTGCCGGATGTGTCGGAGCTATTTAACTTTATTCTTTAATCGAAACAGTGGTTATAGGAAGAGGGATTGCAAGCAGGAGGAAGCTACCTAATCAACTGAAATAGGCTCTAACTTTATAAAAAACTTTTGTCTTTGTCCTCAAAATCCCAAACAGCCGAAAAAGTAACAGATGATAGCTTTTTTGCAGCTTTAGGTTGAATGTCTTACCTCGTTTGCTATTGAAGTGTCTGTCTAAGATTGTATAATTGTGGACAGTCTCCTAACTTTGCAACGGCCTCTTCAATGAGCAATCCTTTTTTAAATAAGTCTGAAGTTTTGTTCTCTCTCTTTTTGTTTTTCACCCGACTGCATGATTTACATAAGTGGCTACATGAAACCTTTCGGAACTCTCCTCTGTCCTGAGTAGATCCTGACTCTGAGTTCCACTGTTCCTGTTCTCTTTGGACCTGATTCACCTACTTTTAATTGCAATGAGTAGCTTGTTGATGATTCCCATTGATTTCAGTGGGATGACTCAAAGTGAGTAAGGATGGAGGAATCTGGCCCTATAAGTTTTGCAAGTCACTCCCACTCTAAATGGGTTTGGCGCATAATATAGTGTGGATATTCAGTGAAATCAGTCTTGAGCAGCCTAATTTTTTTTTGTTCACTCTTCTGCTTTGAAATTGTGCTTAGAAAGTAAAATAATGTTGATACACCTCCTGATGCTAGTTTAAAAAAACTGCCTCAACCTAAATGAGTGATTAGTTCTATTAAAAATCTACATCTGTGACATTACAGCCTGGGTTTGGAGTTTGCCTTGGGACTCTCTAAGACAGATTTGGCCCACGGAGGTCCTACCTCTACCCCACACCCAGGCCAATCAGGGCCTAGGGATGGTGGTTAGGGGGGTGCACAGCACTTGGAGTTAACCCTGGTGGTTGACTCTAAGCACCGCAAGCCAGAGGGCAGGAAGCAAGAGACTTCATGCTCTCCCTGCCCCCGGGCCCTGATTGACCTGGGGGCAGGGCAGGAGCATGCAAAGTCTCCTCCCACTGCTGGGGCACAGGTGCTGGGGCACAGCTGTTCAGAACAGCTGGCAGCTCTTTTCAGGGGGAGGGGCAAATACTACTTGTGCTTTTCCACCCACAGATCAATCAGGGTCTCAGGGTGGGGAAACACAGAAGTGTACTGTCTCTGCCCCGTCTGCCCCCTCCAGGGCAGCCCTGGGCCTATTCAAAAAATTTTTTAGTGGCCTCTGGTCAAAAATTATTGCCCAGTCCAGTCTAAGAAATGGGGAGAGTTTGGACGGCATACGGGCATAGTGGAGTTTGAAGCCAGGTCACACTAAGGGTGGAGTGGTAACTGGGAATGCTTTCAAATGGTTGCTTAACATAGGGTTGCCTCTTTAGATTCCACCAGTGCTTGTTTTGTGTTTAAAAAAAAAGAAGTTCTGGTACTCCAGGGGAAAAGTTGTTGAGCTCTGACTGGAGGTGCTGGTACAGCATACCGGCAGTACTGTCACCAAAAAAAGCACTGGATTCCACTATATAGAGAGTAAATTATGGTATTACTGACCAAAATGAGTTATTACAGTACTCTGATGTATGGGTTGGAATCCTGATTACTTGGTCAATAGAGAGTGTCTTGTTTCCAGCTTTTTAGGTCTCTGTCACTGAGGTATCAGGATGAATCTAATGTTTTCAAAATACTGCTCAAAAAGTAATGTATTTGCCACGTGTGGAGTGCACTCATTGGTCCTGGGAAGATCTTCATCAGGAACGCTCCACATCAGCTTAGTTGTCAATATTTCCCCTAATTTTTTCCATCCATGTGTGGCATACATTTTGCTATGTGAACCCATACATGTGTGGTAGTGAACTCCAAGTAGAAACACATGCTGCTGTCTGTGGTCTGCTAATCAGCAGAATAGCATATTTTCCTGGGTGGCTGCCTAAGTAGTCAGTTTATAGGGAACATTGTCTTTTGTCCCCTTTATCCTTAGTTGGTATGAGGGCTGTGAGTGCATCAAACTGATTCAGGTACTGTGGTGTTGGATGCATAAGAAATAGAGTAACTGCTCACTTGGAAGGAGCTGGACAGGTGGGGCAAAAACCATCCAGATCTCTGAGACATCGCTCCTTCACAGCTGCCATTTTTCTCATCTCTCAGTGCATAGTGAATAGGGGTAGGAGAGACTAGGGAGGTGCATAGTTGCTGCTTTTTACATAAAGGGTCAAATCCTCAGCTGATCTAAAGCCACATAGCTCCACTGATCTTGCAGATAATGTTGGAGTGCATCAATAATTAATCCTATGAAATGGGTAAATTGCATGAGGTTGGATAGAAGCAGGTTACGTTCCCTTTATTAGAGCATAAATATTTCACTTGAATTTGCTAATTATTTTTCCTACTCTGCTGTGCTTTTGTGACAACTTAAACCCATTTCTACTTCTCAAAGCCATAATAGAGGGAAAAAATACTATGTTCTCGATTATGGACTGCACAGCTCTTCTAACTTGAAACCTTTTCATATCATAGGTGGGGGTTGGCAAAATACTGATCTTGAAAGCACTTACAGATGCTAGTCCTTCATACTATTAAGAGGTAGATGGCTATTATCTGCATTTCACAGATAACGAAATTGAAACATGTTTTGAATCCCTTCCTGAAATCCATAGAAAAGGTCTACTTCAGAGCCTTTGTTAAAGTTCAGGAGCTCCTGTTCTGAGGCTTTGTCTGCACTAGCACTTTTATTAGTCAAAGGTGTGGAAAAACGCACCACTTACTGACATAAATTTCACAAACAAAAGCACTGGTGTGCACATCACTCTATCCTCTAGTGTCTCCTGCTGACGAAGTTACTGCTGCTCGTTAGGGACTGTTCAATTATGCCAGCAGGAGAGCTCTACTGCTGGCACAGAGAGGCTACACAGAAGACCTTAGAGTGGCGCAGCCGCGGACATAGAGCTGTGCCGTTATTGGGTCCAATGCATAGACAAAACCTTAGACTCTAAATCAGGTTAAGGATATAAAATCCCGGTCAAACAGTTAAACATTATGTTTAACTGGTTAACTGATTAAAGAAGGGTGGGAGTGGGGGCTGCTCTGGCCACGCTGGAGTGTCCCTGCCTGTGGCGGGCAGAGCAGGGAGGGGGTGGTCCTCCAGCCCACTGGTTAACAATTCACATCCCTAAATGAGACCAAGCTTCAGGCTGGCTTGAAATCATCAGACCTTGTGATTTCCAAGAATGACTTCAAACAAAATAACTTCCAAATTCTTTCCTCTCTTGTTTGGCTGGCTTTAATGGCATTGGCAATTAATAATACTTAGTTGTTTGTCTGGGCCACCCTTTTGCCCAAAGTATAAACGGTTTCTGCTGCTATGTTGACAGTCTGGAAGAGATGTGGGGGTATGGAAACACTTGCTTCTTACAGTATGGTTTGTTTAATCAAAAGGAATAACTTAAAATATACTGTAAATCAAATTAACTGAATTCTAGATAATTTAGAGTTTCTCGGTCCCTGAATATCCATAATGTTGAATTCCTCTGGGAGTTGGCATCTTTTACTTGTATCTAAGGATGTTAAATTGTGGTTATTTAGCTAATCGTGTAGTCGATACAATTTGTGGTGACTACATGATTAGTTGATAAGGACCACTCTGCAGAGCCACAGTGGGAGTAGCTCCCAGAGCCGGCTCAAGCCGGGACTGACCAGTCACCCCTGCTGCGGGTCTGCATTTTACTACATTTAAAATGCAGAGCCGCAGAGTGCTGGACCAGCATAAGCCAGGACTGGCTTGCGCCAAGTCCAGCAGCCCCTGTTAGCGGCGGCCACGAATGGGCCACCACGAGCAGGGGCTTCTTGTTGGCATCAGCCCCTGTCCATGGGGGGGCCTAGCTCCCCATTGGGACCCCTGCAGACAGGGGCTGCTGCTGGAGCAGCCTCTGCCTGCGGCAAGCCTCAACCTGGTTTTTAAGCCAGCTTCATCCTAGCACCGTCTCTTGTTTCCCTCCCTTTACTGCCTCTCATAGAGGCAGCAAGTGGGAGGGGCGGTAAGCAAGTAGTCAAATACTCCACTCGACTACCTGAGTGAACAAAACCTTTTACATTATTTCTTGAGACAGATGCTCATAAGAACATAACAGACATACTGGGGCAGACCAAAGGTCCATCTAGCCCAGTATCCTGTCTGCTGACAGTGGCCAATACCAGGAGGGAACACAACAGGTAATCTTCACATGATCCTTCTCCTTTCACCCATTTCCAGGCCAACAGAGGTTAGGGACACCATTCCTACTCATCCTGGCTATTAGACATTGATGGACCTAAAATCCATGAATCTATCTAGCTCTTTTTTGAATCCTGTTAAAGTCCTAGTCTTCACAACGTTCTCTGGCAAGAAGTTCCTCAGGTTGACTGTGCACTGCATGAAGATAAACTTCCTTTTGTTTTAAACCTGCTGCCTATTAATTTCATTTGGTGACCCCTAGTTCTTTATATTGTGGGAATAAGTAAATAACTTTTCC